ATAGCTCTCACAGAAACCAAGCTTACAGGTATGATAACGATGCCATCTTCCAACGGGATTACCAAATCCTGGAAAGACAGAGGGACAGGGGGGTGGAGGAGTGGCGTTGCTGATCAAAAATCGCTGGAATTTTGATGAGCTGGAGAGAGAAGATAGCGGATAAGAAATGATACATAGTGGGAACCCACTTCACTCTGGAGGCCCCAAAGGGTGGTAATAGCAGTGATGTATAACCCACCACAGAACAGCAGAGGCCAAGGCAAGAGTACACGAAGCAATAGAGCGATGTTGACACACTGGCTAAGTGGCCAGAAGAGCTCATGCATGCAGGCAAAGCTCCTGACATGGTGACTTTAACCACAAGGAGATAGATTGGGAGAATTTGGACCCACATGGGGGCCAAGTTTACTTGGAGGGCTAAGATGATGGAGGTGGACTGGAGACTTCATGTAACCAACACGAAAGGGGACACTACAAAGAGAGGAGAGGAGAACCAAAAGGGGCTGGACTTAGTATTCACCTTCAGTAGTGCAGATATCGAGGACATCACTTTATGAAAGACCCCTTGGGGCCAGGACCATGTGGTTGAAGTTTCGAATAACACAGTAGAGCTACAAGGGGGGGAGAAGCAGGAAGGCCAGGACGAATGAAGCCAAACACAAAAAAGGGACTAAAACAGGAATGAGGAACTACTGAACGGGGTTCATGGGAAAAGAGAACGGGGCAGGGAAACCAGTTAATGAGATGATGGAATATTAGCAATAAAATGCAAGGGGGCCCTGAGGAGAGGTTTGTACCCAAGGGTAACAGGAGTAATAAAAAGCCAGGATGACCCATGGTTTACCCAAAGGTGCAGGGAGGCAAAAACCAAGTGTGCTAGGGAATGGAAGAAATATAGAAGGCAAAGGACCCAGGAGAATAAGGAGAACAGTCGTAGAGCCAGAAATGAATATGCACAGATAAGAAGGGAGGCCCAAAGACAATATGAAAATGACATAGCAGCGAAAGCCAAATCTGACCCAAACTGTTGTACAGCCACATCAGGGAAAACAACAGTCAAGGACCAGGTAATCAGGCTAAGGAAGGAAGAGGAGAGACAACAGGAAATGACCGGGAAGTATGTGAAGAACTCAACAAGAGATTCAAAGAATGTTCACAGAGGAGACAGAAGGGACTCCAGAAAGACGGAGAGGTGGGGCACACCACCAAGTGCTGGACACAGTGCACACAACCGAGGAAGAAGTGAAGAGGCTTCTGAGTGAGCTAGATACCTCAAAGGCAATGGGGCCAGATAACATCTCCCCATGGGTATTGAGAGAGGGAGCAGAGGCGCTATGTGTACCCCTAACAACAATATTCAATACATCTATCGAAACAGGGAGATTGCCTGAGGCATGGAAGACAGCAAATGTAGTCCCAATCTTTAAAAAAGGAGACAGACATGAAGCATTAAACTACAGACCAGTGTCACTGACATGTATAGTATGCAAAATCATGGAGAAGATTATCAGGAGAAGAGTGGTGGAACACCTAGAAAGGAATGATCTCATCAACAGCAGCCAGCATGGTTTCAGGGACGGGAAATCCTGTGTCACAAACCTACTGGAGTTCTATGACATGGTGACAGCAGTAAGACAAGAGAGAGAGGGGTGGGTGGATTGCATTTTCTTGGACTGCAAGAAGGCGTTTGACACAGTTCCACACAAGAGATTGGTGCAAAAACTGGAGGACCAAGCAGGGATAACAGGGAAGGCACTACAATGGATCAGGGAATACTTGTCAGGAAGACAGCAGCGAGTCATGGTACGTGGCGAGGTGTCAGAGTGGCAACCTGTGACCAGCGGGTCCCGCAGGGGTCAGTCCTAGACCAGTGCTGTTTCTGGTATTTGTGAACGACATGACGGAAGGAATAGACTCTGAGGTGTCCCTGTTTGCAGATGACGTGAAGTTGATGAGAAGAATACACTCGATCGAAGACCAGGCAGAACTACAAAGGGATCTGGACAGGCTGCAGAACTGGTCCAGCAATTGGCTCCTGGAGTTCAATCCCACCAAGTGCAAAGTCATGAAGATTGGGGAAGGGCAAAGAAGGCCGCAGACGGAGTACAGTCTAGGGGGTCAGAGACTACAAACCTCACTCAAGGAAAAAGATCTTGGGGTGAGTATAACACCAGGCACATCTCCTGAAGCGCACATCAACCAAATAACTGCTGCAGCATATGGGCGCCTAGCAAACCTCAAACAGCATTCCGACATCTTAATAAGAATCGTTCAGGACCCTGTACACCGTATACGTTAGGCCCAGATTGGAGTATGCGGCAACCAGTTTGGAACCACACCTAGCCAAGCACGTAAAGAAACTAGAGAAAGTGCAAAGTGTTGCAACAAGACTAGTCCCAGAGCTAAGAGTATGTCCTACGAGGAGAGGTTAAGGGAAATCAACCTGACGAACACTGGAGGACAGGAGAGATAGGGGGACATGATAACGACATACAAAATACTGAGAGGAATTGACAAGGTGGACAAAAACAGGATGTTCCAGAATTGGACACAGTAACAAGGGGACACAGTTGGAAGCTAAAGACACAGATGATCACAGGGATGTTAGGAAGTATTTCTTCAGCCACAGAGTAGTCAGTAAGTGGAATAGTTTGGGAAGCGATGTAAGTGGAGGCAGGATCCATACATAGCTTTAAGCAGAGGTACGATAAAGCTCAACGGCTCAGGGAGAGTGACCTAGTAGCGATCAGTGAAGAGGCGGGCCAGGAGCTCGGACTCGACCCCCGCAACCTCAACTAGGTGAGTACAACTAGGTGAGTACACACACACACACACACACACACACACATACACACACACATACATAACACACACACACACCACACACCTACATCACACACACACACACACACACACACACACATACACACACACATACACACACATACACACACCACACACATACACACACATACACACCCTGTCTTAATAAAAAAAAGACTCAGGACTTAAAAAAATAAAATAACGCAGGCTTCAAGAGTTTTCTTGAAGCAGTTTTATTATTTTAGTGACAATCTCAAAATAAAATTCACATCCCTTGAATATGCTTTAAAAAGAACTCGTAAAATAAGAGAAGTGGATTTAAATATTTCAATTATAAAGTACAATAACAGTGATCATTGTGACTAAGAGTAATGCTTATCCTGCGCCGCCACAACACAACGTTATCTGCAATTGTGGGAAATCAATTGATTATTGTATATTATAATCTGTTGGGTTGAAAATTGCTTTCCTTCACACAAAGAAGATAAACATCTTAAAGAATTATGCTTGACAATGTCTGCAATGAAATTATGTCACAGTAACAAATAAAACTTAATTCTTTTACGAAGACAATTTTTAAAGTAACGGGAAGGAACTCGAGAAAAAAGTAAATTTTGGTCCCCCTGAAGCTCTTTCATGGGCTTTCCCTCCCGGGCCCATGGACCACTGTGTGTGTGTGTGTGTGTGTGTGTGTGTTAGTTAGTTAGTTACCATTTTGTCCTAGGCACATGTCGATTAGACACTAGGCCTGTATGTGTGTGTGTGTACTCACCTATTTGTACTCACCTATTTGTGGTTGCAGGGGTCGAGTCAAGCTCCGGGCCCCCCGCCTCTTCACTGATTGCTACTAGGCCCCTCTCTCTCCCTGCTACATGAGCTTTAATCAAAACCTCGCCTTAAAACTATGTAGGGTTTTCCCGCCTCCACTACTTCACTTTCTAGATTTATTCCATGACTTGACTACTCTATGACTGAAGAAATACTTCCTAACATCCCTTCGATTCATCTGAGTCTTCAACTTCCAATTGGGGAAACCCCTTGTGTCTGTGTCCCATCTCTGAACATCCTGTCTTTGTCCACCTTGTCTATTCCCCGCAGTAAACAGGCCGATTTCCCTCAACCTGTGTGTGTGTGTGTGTGTGTGTGTGTGTGTGTGTGTGTGTGTGTGTGTGTGTGTGGTGTGTGTGTGTGTGTGTGTGTGTGAGTGTGTGTGTGTGTCCTCGTATATGTGCACCTCCTTTGCTCCTGTGTTTTAGCGTGTTGTTTTTATATTTATGTGTAGCGTGTATGTGTTAGTGTTTATATATCAGTAGATCTGTGTTCAAGCGCATGACGCAGCGGTATCTTTGCGTCCGTCCTCCCTTTATGCATTTTACACCGAGTTTTTTTCATATGATTTATGAAAAACAAACACTCAAAATGAACAGAAAATATTACCTGCACACGAGGTCAGTTTCACCTCCTGGGGGAAAATTCATTATTTTATGTTTCTGTGATTATTTTCGTGCAATTATATGATAATTATGACTTTGAACTCTGGAAAATAGTCTGGAAAATATAACCCACGTGGACTGTTGGCTTTTACCTCTCTCTCTCTCTCTCTCTCTCTCTCTCTCTCTCTCTCTCTCTCTCTCTCTCTCTCTCTCTCTCTCCCTCTCTCTCTCTCTCTGTCCCCTCCTCTCCCCTCCTTTTCTTCCTCTCCCCTCTCTCTCCGTTCTCTCTCTCTCTCTCTCTCTCTCTCTCTCTCTCCCTTTCTTCTATCTCGTTGTTTTCTGTCTACAAAGAGTGACAGAATAAATATACAGAAACAGAAAGTGAAATAAAAATGAAGAGAAACAGGAGTAAAAAATGGAGACATTGGGTAAGACAAAAATAGACAAAGTAAGAGAAAAAGGGTTAAAAAGGAGACAAGGAAAGAGACTATAGTAAACACAGACAAAGGGAGAAATGTAACAGAAAAAAAAGACGGAGTAGACAGGGAAATATGGACCTACCTCTATCTGTAGTCGATTCCGGAGTGAAGGCATCCCCCGCGGGGCGATGACCTCAATCATGCTGCTGGTTCTAACAGCGCAGTCCAACGTAGGCACTCCAGCCTAACTGTTCTTTAACACACATTGTATACGATGACCTAAAATGGTGTGAACTATTCTTTATATTTTCTTTTTTCGTTACAGGTCCGAGCGCCGTGTTGACCCTGCTTCACGGATCAGTTACCGCCCACGCCCATCTCTCCCTCACACCCGCAACCGCCCACAGTCTCTGCCCGAGGGGACACATATCATGGGCGTGGGACTTTGGAGAAGAGTTGGCGGAGAAGCAGCGTGAAGAGATGATGTTTGGAAAGACGGGAAGGAAGATGGGAGATGGAGAAATAACAGGAGAGATGACTGGCGATGATGAGAGAGTCGAAAATCTGAGAGATGAGGATGAACTGCTAAAGAAGGGAAGTGGAGAATATGAAGATTACGTTGTGCTGCTAGAGAAAGTAACAGAGGAAAATCGAAAGCAAGTTGAAAGGAGGAGAAGCAGAAGAGACGCGAGATTTATCCACCGGAGGGAGATGGCGAAGACAGTCAAAGGAAAGGGAAGTGATATTTTGGCTGAAGGTAAAGAGCAGCAGGTAGCTACCTCTGAGGCCTTAACCACCCCCAGCTATCTTGAAGATATAGTAACTGGTGACAATGAAGCTTCTAGTGCTGGTGGTGACAACGAAAGTTCTAGAGCTGGTAGTGACGAAGAAGACTCTAGCGCTGGTGGTGACGATGAAGAGTCTAACGCTGTTGGTGACGATGAAGACTCTAGCTCTGGTGGTGAGGAAGAAGGCTCTAGCACTGATTTTCATTATGGTATCCCGAGTGCCACACTGCCCATCGTTATTACTACCTCCAACTCTGATACTGTCTCCTCCTCCAACCCTTCTCTCTCTCCCACCACCGCCCCCTCCATCAACTGCCATACCTCCACTACCACTACTACCAAACCTCCACTCTCTCACACTGCCACAACTACCCTCAGTACCTTTTATTCCACCATAACCTCAACCAGCTCATCCGCTTCTACCATCAGGGATATCAACACAAAGAGCAGCCCATCAACCACGGTCTACCACAACTACCACCAGCCTGGAACATATGACTTCAGCGCCCAAGTTAAATGCAATTCTCTTGGGCTCTTTAAGAAGAAAATCGACAATGCCTTCTTGGTCGTCTTGCCTATCGGTGACGTCGAGATAAGGTGAGGCAACGACTTTTTTTTTTTTTAAATTTTTGATTTTTCTTATTTGTGGTTACAGAGGTTGACCTCAGCTCATGGCCCCGCCTCTTAAATAGTTGTGACAAGGTTTAATTTCTCCGTTCTTGCGATTCAATTTTACTCTTAAAGTTGCGCACACAACCCGCCTCCAGTTTTTCGCCAAGATAAAATAAATTTCTTGGCCACCTTGAGACTGAATAAATATTTCCTGACATCTCTGTGCCTCGTTTGTGTCTGTTAACTTCCAACTGTACCTTAGTGTACTCATTTGTAACAGGTTTTTTCCTGTGACGTTTGTGCTTTTCTTGGGTTTTTAGTTCAGAAATGGTCAGCAAACTCAGTGAGTTCATCCAAAAATGCGCAGGTAATTTATTAACAACTGGTTCTAATTTAGGTTGAAGTTCAGACTGCGACGTAAATCCGCGAGTAATAACAGCGAGAGCTATTAAGATAAAGTCTGAGGGAAGTAATTGCCTGTGTGTTACCTGTACGCGCTTCCTGGAGTCACCGGCCCCCGGGGCCCGGTCCAAGACCAGGACTCCCAGTTGCATTCCAAATTTGAAAGAATTTATTTCACATACCCTCTATACCAACAAATAATGAAGGTACCTGAGAATAAATTAATTTACAATTAGACTATAGTAACATTCTATATTTTATTCTATAATTTCCTGAAGTCTTTGGACAACTCCTACATTGTCTACACATTTCACTCTCCAGGATTTTCTTCATGCTCAGAATAACAATCAACTTAACCGAATATCAACATGACGGTCTTTACTAAATGGTTATAACTATAACCATAATTTTTAAAGGGGTGGACCGTTAAGCCAGTGGAAGGCCTCGATCATATGACCAAAAGCTCCAAGGGCGAGTCGTCGTCTAAGACTCGCTTCAGGAAACTTGTCCTGTTTCCTGACAAACCTTACCTAACCTAACCTATGACGCTCCTTTATATATAGTGTACAGTATATTCTTTTTCATAATTTCAGATACTTTATTCATTTCGTTCTTGTTCCTCGCGTTCCCTTCCTACCTACTGAATTCTTCACTCAGCAACTGTCTTGCTACAAGTCCACAAACAAAAATTTAGATAACCATCTGAACTACAATATCCTCACCCATCCTTCAAAAGTACAGGCACTTCTTTGAAAAATAGGTTAGATAAATACATGAGTGGGTGTGGGTGGGTGTGAGTTGGACCTGACTAGCTTGTGCTGCTGGGTCTGGTGCAGTGCTCCATCCTTGAGTGGAGATGATCAGACTGGGTGGGTCATTGGGCTAATCCCGGGGGGGACATGAACCTGCTCCGCATGGATCAGTAGGCCTGTTGCAGTGTTCCTTCTTTCTTATGTTCTTATGTTAACTCAGACTTGGTCTATGGCAGTCTGCTTCATCAGTATAGGATCCTGGGTATCTTGTTTGTTGTGATAATATCTCCTTCACTTTAAGAAAGGAAAAAATACATTTTACAACGTTTCACCCGCAGTGATAAATCGACACTGTGGGTGATAAAATCCCACTGTGGATGAAACGTCATCATTAAAGTCTTTTTCCCTCAGCTTAGTGTCTTTCAGTTATGACTTGTTCGGCTTATGCCATTGTCTAACTATCAGCCTGCTGGGAAATTCTCTGAAAGTTTCTAAACCTTTTAAATGTGCTTGAATAGCTGTGGGCTTCAAGTTGGCATTCTGTCTTGTCGAACTTGTGAGGAATTACACACGTGCAACGCCCAAGTAACTCTAAAGACGTGATTGGTAACATCTTGACCAGCGCTCAGGAAGGTTATTTCCAGGTGGAACAGCAAATAATTATATCCTGTAGGATTAATGGACACAGTGTCTCAAGAAGCTGTTTCGAGTATACATTGACAAGTGGAAGTTGGTGTGGGAGGCTAGGTAGAAACAAGAGGAAGATGGTAAGGTTAGGTAAGTTGTGCAAGAAAGGTATAAAATACCGACAATATGAAAGTTAAGACACATGTGCAACATCTGGATATCTTTATTGTAGACGTTTCGCCATCCAGTGGCTTTATCAATACAGATTCTAGGACATAATAGGAAGACAGTAGAACTATATACAAAAGATGAGGTAATCAGTCCCTCGGCCTTGGAGTTAGTGTTCACAGCATCTTTCTTGCACAACTTGTCAGACACTGCAACATCATGGAATCTTGGTTCAGAGGACATCTACAAGACCTTCTTCACGGCTGCTGCAACTAACCCATCTCTTTGGGAAGGACCTACTTCCACTGGGGAATCCCGCCTACCAGTGACTGCCCTCGTCTGCTGCCCGTCCCTTCCACTGACGCCTATATAAACGCCAGTCTTCTTGCCTTTGCTCCAGATTCTCCTCCACCACGATGCTGTGAACACTAACTCCAAGGCCGAGGGACTGATTACCTCATCTTTTGTATATAGTTCTACTGTCTTCCTATTATGTCCTAGAATCTGTATTGATAAAGCCACTGGATGGCGAAACGTCTACAATAAAGATATCCAGATGTTGCACATGTGTCTTAACTTTCATATTGTCGGTATTTTATACCTTTCTTGCACAACTTACCTAACCTTACCATCTTCCTCTTGTTTCTACCTAACCTCCCACACCAACTTCCACTTGTCAATGTATACTCACACAACAACTCATACAACAAGCTGACAAACAGCGTATTAAAAACAATAAAGCCTTCTGGAACTTTATCAAAAAAATAAGAGGCACTACTCCCACCAACAAATTCAAACACATCACCTACAACAACACACACATCTCAGACCCGCAGGCTGCTACCAACATCTTCAAACACATCTGGGAGAACATCTTCCACCCTCACCAACCTCACCCTAACGTTATTCAACACATTCAGAACATAGAACATTGGAACACTGCACACACAAAAGATACAACACCAGATAGCCACATTCATCTAGACTCTCTTACCTCCTCCCAAGAACTCGACACTCCTTTCACCAACACAGACATTAAAACTCTCCTCAGACACCTTCCTCCCAAGGCTCCTGGCGCCTCTGGCCTAAACCATATTATCCTAAAACATCTTCCTGACTCTATCATTGCTGCCTACACAAACCTCCTCAATGTCTCCCTTGCCTCTGGATACTTCCCTTCCCTCTTCAAAGCTGCTACTGCTATCCTCCTTCCTAAACCCAAAAAAGACCACTCTGATCCTAGAAATTATCGCCCTATCAGCCTCCTCGAAACTTTAGGTAAACTCTTTGAAAAACTCATCAACCATCGCCTTCGCAGATACCTGGAACACAACTCTCTACTTTCTGATGGTCAGTTTGGCTTCAGAACACACAGATCCACACAAGATGCCATTAACATCATTCTCAACTACATCCACATAAACACAGAACAAAGAAACAGGACAGCCCTGGTTGCAAAAGACGTTGAAAAAGCTTTTGACACTGTCTGGCACCAAGGGCTCAAGTACAAACTCTGCACTAACTTTAACCTGCCTCTCACTACTCGTAAACTCCTCTGCAACTTCCTAGACGGCCGTACCATGAGAATCAAATTCCAAGGCTGTTACTCTGACTACTTCACACTAAATGCTGGAGTACCCCAGGGATCTGTCCTCTCCCCTACCCTCTACATTTTATACACTAACGACATTCCAACACCTGTATACCAAAACTCCATCACACTAGCCTATGCAGACGACATTACACAACTTATCACTCATGCCAATATAGATACACTCACACACAAAACACAAAATGAGGTCGACAGGATAGCCATCTGGGAACAAAAATGGAGGATCAAAACCAATGCAGCTAAATCCAGCATACATATTTAACTACAGAAAACGTGATCCTCCATTACCTGTCGAGCTCAGAACAGCTGACACCCGCACTTACATCCCCATGACACAATCTGTCACTGTCCTTGGCGTTAATCTTGACTACCTTCTACGCTTACACGGACACATTCACTCAAGGCATGCAATAGCTAGTAAGGCCCTTGCGGGCCTCTACAAGCTGAAACATGCCTCTCAACGCACCAAACTACACCTCTACAAAATCCCTTATACGTCCTCTGATAACTTACTCTCCTCTAGCCCTCTCTCTTGCAGCAAAAACAAACTTACTTAAACTGCAGCGTGTCCAGAACAAGGCGCTGCGCTGGGTGCTTGATGTCAGATGGGAGGACTTCGCCACATGCGAGTCTCTACATGCCCAGTTAGACATCCCTGCGCTGAATCTGTACTGGAAGACGCTCAGTGACAGACAGATTGACAAACTCGTGACACGACATGACTACTGGACCTCTCTCCTTGACGAAGACATTCGCAGACCCACAAACCAACACAACCTTTTCTATTCCTTGCATGATCCTGCTCCTAACCCTATTTACAAATAACCTTGGATTCTCCGAGAGGTACCTTCTATGACAGGTACCATTCTCTGATCCACGTTCGCCTTACCCTTTGGGTTAAGACATGGCTCAGTTCTACACTCCTCTCTAGCTCTAAACGTCGCATGTCCCTTCCTTCCCGCTCACCCCACCGGAGTCCCAACAGAAGAGCCTGAATTTCTCTTCTCAAATATCTGTCCCACGATCGCCTCGCTGCTGGGTTAAGCCCTGGCTCTATTTCTACGACAAAGAACACTCCTCTCCAGCACTGTTCTTCGTCTGTCCCGTCTTCCCCGCTCGTCCCAGTTGGGATCTTACCTGAACTTTCGTTCGTTCGTTCGCCTTTGCTCCAGATTCTCCTCCACCACGATGCTGTGAACACTAACTCCAAGGCCGAGGGACTGATTACCTCATCTTTTGTATATAGTTCTACTGTCTTCCTATTATGTCCTAGAATCTGTATTGATAAAGCCACTGGATGGCGAAACGTCTACAATAAAGATATCCAGATGTTGCACATGTGTCTTAACTTTCACAAGGTTAGGTAAGGTTCGTCAAGAAACAGGAGCTTTAGTCAACTGACCGAGCTTTTGGTCATCTGCCCG